TTTGATGAGCTCTCACTAAGTGTCAGTTAAGGTCTGTGTCAGTCGCTGGTAACAGAGAGCCCAAAACAGTGTCTCCACGCGCAGAAGGGTTTGTTGTTTCTTCTTCCACATCAAAGCACCTCAAGGTGGGCAGTCTGGAGTTGATGGGGTGGCACTGCAGTGACATCAGGGACCGGGCCCCGCTAGCAATCATTTCTCTGCCAACCTCATGGCATGACCTTCACCCACATGCTCTCCAGGCAGGGGCCCCTGGTCAGCCACCAAGTTTGCATTCCAGGCAGGACGAAGGGAAGGGCAAAGGGACAAAAGAGTATGTGTCAGATGCCTCACCTTTGTCTTTTACATCTTTTTTTTTTTTTTTTTGAGACAGAGTCTCACTTTGTTGCCTGGGCTAGAGTGCCGTGACGTCAGCCTGGCTCACAGCAACCTCAAACTCCTGGGCTCAAGCGGTCCTCCTGCCTCAGCCTCCCAAGTAGCTGGGACTACAGGCACGCACCACCGTGCCTGGCTAATTTTTTTCTATATATTTTCAGTTGGCCAATTAATTTCTTTCTATTTTTAGTAGAGGCGGGGTCTCGCTCTTGTTCAGGCTGGTCTCGAACTCCTGAGCTCAAATGATGCACTCCCTCAGCATCCCAGAGTGCTGGGATTACAGGCGTGAGCCACCACACCCGGCCTGCCTTTTACATCTTCATGGTCAGAAATTGTCACAGGTCCACTCTGAGTTGCAAGGGAGGCTAGAAAATATTGTTATTGAGCCGGCTACATTACCTCCTAGGACAAAGGTCCTCCTTGTTCGGTTAGCAAAGAGCAGGTGAACAGGTGCCGGGCACGCGACTCAGCCCCCACCGCAGCCGCACAGGGCAGTATGCGAGGATCTCGTTTAACCTGCATAGTAACTCCCCAGAGGCAGTGACAACATTTCCATGTTACAGATGGGGAAACTGAGGTTCCCAGCAATTAAGGAGGCTGCTCACAGTCACACAGACACACAGACGACCCCAGTACCCTGCCACGCAGAAGCCGCTTCTCCCAGGCCCGGGGCTGAGCTCGGGCTGGGGCCACGGACTGTGGTGACCGTGGGGACGTGGGGGCGTGGCACGCCGCGCCAGCTGTGACCCTCCTTCAGGATCCCCTCCTGCCTCCACATGGGGACCTCCCCTTGCCCCTGCCTGCGGGGCCGGGAGGGGTCTGCGTGTCCTGCGCTCTCTCAGGAGCCAAGCCGAGGCCTAGAGAAAGGGCTTGCTGGGCGGGAGGAGCCCAGGGCTCAGGGCTCCCGGCTCTTCCGGGGAAGCCCTGGCAGGCGTGTCCGCGGGGCCAGATGATGGCTGCTCTCCGGGGACACAGGAGAGGAGCTTGGGCTCAGCTATGAGTGAGGGTCAGGGGCCCCTGGGGGCTGGAGCCAGGGTCAGACAGTGGCAGGTGCCAGAGAGGAGGGGTGAGTGGAGGGGGAGGCCTAGGAGGTAGGAGGAAGCCGAGGGAAGCTGCTGGGGACAGGAAAGTCCCCACCTCCTTGCACAGTAGATGATAAGAGCAGCACATATGACACATACTCATGTGTACTCATTGAGCTTTCATTCATTCATTCATTCATTCATTCGTTTATTATTTTTTGAGCCAGGGTCTTGCTCTGTCACCCAGGCTGGAGTGCAGCCGCTGCTCTGAGAGTCCCTGGCCATCTGTCTCGGGGTCCTCTGGGCCGTTTGCATTGACAGAGGAAAGAGCCACAAGCCCACTTGTGACTAAATTTTGCAGACGTGCACAGTGAGGTTGATCCTCAGTGAGGACCCCCCAGCCCCGAGCAGCTCACGCTCAACCCGGGCGCTGGCAGTGACTGCGACAAACACGGCCCCCGGGGCTGAGGGGCCGTCCCTGCCAGCTCACCCGAGCCGGTGCATTTGCATATCATTTGCCTCTTACAGCATGCATGTGTTGAATTTGCAATTTTTTTTGTTATTATGGTATTGCATTTTCTCCCCCAAAACTCAGAGCTGGAATACATGTCTCAAAGTGACTCACAGGGCCAGAAAGGAGCCACGTGGCCCCAGCAACTTGGGAGAGGTTGTAAATACAATGCCAGGGCCGGGAAGATACAAATGCCCAGAGCCAGCCACAGGCGCCAGGCAGGGGCAGCAGGGACCACAGTGACCTCGGAGCAGGCGACCTGGACTGTTGGAGCCCCCAGCCCAGGCCTGGAGCAGTGACTACTAGGCCACCTTGCCGGTTAGTGCAGAAAGGGCCAGGAGCTCGTTTTCAAAGACCAAACCTTGGCTCCTCCGGGTAAATCCATAGGGTGTTTTGTTTTTTTCTAGAACAAACAAAAAATAATTCTTGCCAGTACGAAACCAATTAATTTTGACACTACAGGAAGAGAAGATAGTGACGGTATTCAGTGCTCTCTTCTCTACAGGAAAAGAGAAACCGGCCACGCTGTTGCTGAGAAGGCAGGAAACCTGTTCGTCGTGGACTGAATGGGACCCCCCAAGTCCCCATGCTGAAATCCCAACTCCCAGCACCTTGGCAGGTGACTGTATTTGGGGGCAGGATAAAGAGCTAATTATAATAAGTTAAAACGTGGCCATAGGGGTGGGCCCTAATCCAATAGGATGTGTGTCCTTGTAAGATATTAGGACACGGACACACACAGAGGGGACGACCCTGTGAGGACACAGGGAGGAGAAGGCGGGATCTCCGAGCCAAGGAGAGAGGGCTCCGAAGAAACCAGCCCTGCGACACCTTGATCTCGGACTGCCAGGCTCCAGAATTGTGAGAAAATACCTTCCTGCTGTCCAAGGCGGCCTGCCTGCTGCATGCTGTTCTGGCAGCCCAAGCAAACTAACATGATGCCTGGGAGGACACGGCAGACACTCCGTTCAGAAAGCACGACGTGGGCCGGGCGTGGCGGCTCGAGCCTGTAATCCTAGCACTCTGGGAGGCCGAGGCGGGAGGATCGCTCAAGGTCAGGAGTTCGAAACCAGCCTGAGCAAGAGCAAGACCCCATCTCTACTATAAATAGAAATAAATTAATTGGCCAACTAATATATATAGAAAAAATTAGCTGGGCATGGTGGCACATGCCTGTAGTCCCAGCTACTCGGGAGGCTGAGGCAGGAGGATCGCTTGAGCCCAGGAGTTTGAGGTTGCTGTGAGCTACGCTGACGCCACAGCACTCACTCTAGCGTGGGCAGCAAAGTGAGACTCTGTGCTCTTGGCAAAGTCCCTTGATTGAAAGACAAGGTTGGAGGTCACAGAATGTCAGCGACCCTCCAGGAGGAACAGCGACCCAGGCCACAGGAAGGGACTTGTTGGGATTTTGTTTGCCATTCGCATGAAGCCACCGAGGTCTCAGCTCTCAGCCCCGGGCAGCGTGTGAGTGGGGTGGGAGGGGGAGCCCAGCCGCCCTTTGCTCTGCTTGTCACTGGAAACCCAGGGGCAGGAGCGGAGACAGGTGTGCACATGTGTGTTGATTGCCTTGGCACCCTTTGGAAACAGGGAAAGACACTTTGACGTCAGTTTGGGGGGCACCAACGACATGCACAGGTCCATTCGCTGAGGCCTCACCCACCCCCGTCTCCCCTTCCTGTCATTCACAGAGACCTGTTGGCAGACAAGGGTATGCACCGCTCCTTGGTCTGGTGAAGAAAACAGAGAAGATTAGGGATGAATCCAATTATAGCCACCAAGAACACGTTTGTTTCACATGCTAAAATGGCCCATAATTTCCACATTGTGGTGGATAATTTTATGTGTCAACTTGACTGGGCTAGGGGATGCCCAGATAGCCGGTAAGGCATTATTTCCAGGTGTGTCGTGAGGGTGTCTCTGAAAGAGGTTGGCATTGGAATCGGGAGACTGAGTAAAGAAGACCTGCCCTCGCCAGTGTGGACGGGGCCCAGACAGAAATAAGAGACGGAAGAAGGGAGAATTCCCTCCTCTCTCCCTCTCCCCCTGAGCCGGGACACCCATCTCCTGCCCTCGGAGCTCCTGGTTCCCGGGGCCTCCGGACCCAGACTGGATTCCTCTGCCGGCTTGCCTGCCGCTCCAGCTTGCAGGTAAGAACCACAGGACCTCCCGGCCCGTAACGCGGCCAGCCAGCTCCCGCGCGAATCTCCGGGTGTCTATCACGTGCATCCCACTGACCCTGTTCCCCGGCAGGCCCCCATGATACACGCGTGCCGGACTGAGCCTTGCGTGGGAAACTGTGACGTTAAAGGATGTGATTATTTTTTTTCTCCCTGACACTGATAATTCCAGTGAAACTACTTCTCTGATTTTAGGCAGTTTGCCAGCATGACATTTCCTAACAATATGTTGTTTAGCACGAATTTATTTTATAGCCAAATATCACCATTTTCACGTAAAGGGAAGCTATAAAGACCTCTAGAAAACTGATGCATGAGACAGACAGCTCCGTAACTGAAGTCTGGCTCTTTCTCAGATACTTTACCGTAATAAAGGTAAAATAACATGATAGGTAAAATTTAGCAAGGCCTTACTACGTGCCAGGCACGTTTTAAACACCTTATATTTTCGTGCTCCTTTAGTCCTTGCAATGCCTGTTTGAGGCGGGCGCTTTTACCCTGATCTCCAGGCTGGGGGAGATGAGGCCACAGGCACGGAGCAGTCCACGGACGCTCGATGGCCACCTGGGGGCCCAGGACAGGGACCCGGCCACCAGGCTCTGCCAGCACAAGTGTTACTTCTTGGTTTTGTTTACCAGGCCGAGGAGTGAGTCAACGACATTCTCAGCTATACCTAAATGCTGCGGCAGAGGAAGGAACCTTCTCCAAACCCAAATGCCACAAGAGAAGCTTAAAACTACCCAGGTCAGGAGGGTGGCGTGTTGTTGATGTGGCCCCCAGGGCCACGCCCAGGCTGTCTTCTGGGGAAGTGTCACCAGCTACTGAGCCCAGATTTGACCTGAACACCCAGAAGGGCCCCAGCTTAGTCTGTTGGGGCTGCTATAACATGTGGCACAGACTGGGTGGCTTATAAATAACAGATGCTTATTTCTCAGAGTTCTAGAGTCTAGGAAGTCCAAGATCAAGGCACTGGCAGATTCAGCGTCCGGTTTGTAGAGTTACTCTTTGTTAGAAAATGCACGAGGCCAGGCTAGGTGAAAAGGAGTTTATTTTCAACATCTGCACGTAGACGGGCTGAGTCCCAGATGGCAGCAGCCCTGACATGACAAGTGTTCAGGGATCTGGGCAGCCTCCCCGCCCACCCAAAGGGGGTATGGGACTATCTTGCATAAGCTGGAAATACCTCAAAATAGCCCGATACCGAGTTTTGGCTGTTTCACACAAGGGCCCCAAAGTGGGGGAAGGATTGAGGGTCCAAAGGTCGAGCGCCCATGGAATTTTCCACTGGCCCTCTGAATTCAGCCTAACTCTCCAGCCTTTTGCTTTTATGGAATGAGGAGAACGTCTCCTCTTCTGTAATTGCTTCCTGCTGAACAGGGACCTTGGCAGGAGGGGCAGGCAGCCATGGTAGGCTGCGGGAGCCAACTGGCCGTCCCATGGGCCGTGTGCGGGAAGGACAGAGAGCGGCTTGGGACTTGCTGTGGGTGTCGGTGCCTGTGGGGCCTGCGACGGCCCCGGCAACGTGGGAGCCGGCTGAAGGGTGGCTGGGAACCCGCTGGGGTGTTCTCTCACTGTTTCGGACACTGGCTGGGGAAGGAGCTGTGCTGGGTTTTCCCTTGCGAGGAGGGTGTAGGAAGAGGGGTCCTTCAGGGGGATCTGGACTGGCCCGTGGTGTGGCTACGGAGGGAGCAGCGTGTCCCGGACTACAGGGTGAACCAGAGAGGAGGGACGAGCAGGTTCTTCTGAACCAGGTGTGGTGGGGAAGAGGAAGATGGAGAGGTCTGGGCTACGTGATAAGGGGGTGAGCGTAGGGAGGCTGGGGATTTGGAGTCCCGTTGTCCAGAGGGAAAGGATGGGACCCTACCTTGAGAGCTTTGGTCACAGTCCCTCCTCCAGGGGTCATTTTTGCCAGTTAGGACAGGGGCCAGGGGGAGGTCTAGGGCCAGGGCCAGCTCTTGCCCAGTGACCCTTCTACCATACTAAAGCTCAGCCCAGGTGGTATTTTTGTCCTAGGTGCTTTGGCCCCTGTGCCTTTATGGACAGGTGCCTTGCTGGTGGCGCCCTGGCTGTCTGCCGCCTGCAGCTAATGGCTACCTCTGTCCCTTTTGTTTCTCCAATTTTTCTTCCTGGTCCTGGTTATTAAAGACCCTGAAGGCCAGGTTTAGGAGACCCTTTTGTGGGGTTTGAGGGCCTTTGTCTAATGTTTGGAGTTTATGTCTCATATCTGGAGCAGATTGGGAGATAAAATGCATATTTAAACTAAGGTCCCTCGGCCGAGGTGGGTTTATGGTGATATATTTTAGTAGAGCTTCCATTAGGCGAGATAAGAAATGAGCAGGGTTTCCTCTGGGTTTTGGCTGACAATTCTTTAAGTTTTTCATAACTGACCGCTTTCTGACCAGCCTTTCCAAGGCCGTAAGGCATGAGGTCGCCTGGCCCAGTGACGGCGGCCGGGTGTTCCGGTTTGATAGTCCCGATTGGGGTCTTCCCGGGACACTGCCCTGCCGGTGGGTACCAGCAGATGGGCCTGGGCAGCCGTCCAGACCCTTCCCTTCTCCGGGTTTAAGGTAGGGGGAGAGGATGACAAACAGGGCCTGCCACGTCATGTCATAAGACAGGGTGAAGTGTTCAAATTCTTTGGTGTAGTCAGTAACTCACAAGGGGGCTAATAAAGAAAAAGAATAAATTATTAAATAAAATGTAAAAAATCAAAAAGCAAACAAACAACAACAAAACCAAATTCTTTGGTGTAAGCGGTGGGGTGTGGAGAAGGAACCTAATCTCTTCTCTATCTGAGACAGGTCGGACAGAGAGAGAGGGCACGCACCCCAACGATGCCCTCTGCCTGCCACCTCTCGGAGAGGAAGGGTGGCAGACGTCCCGGCCCGGTCACTTGTGCTGTTCCGGACTAAGTGTGAGGAGGAGAGAGAATGCGGAGGGGTGTGAGGAGGGGGCTGTGGGGCACTGGGGTCCTTGGGGGTAGCTTTGGGGGGTTCCAGGAGATGAGGCTTGGTGGGGGCACATAAGCCAGGGGTGGCGATGGTCGGCAGGGTCGAAGCTGGGCGGGGGGAGGGGGTTGGAGGGTGAGAGTAGGACCCGGCAGGTGGAGCAAGATGGGACAGAGGGGTGAGGCCTGGGGTTAAAGGCCCGGACGTAAGGAACTTCGCCCTGTTTTCCACTGCGGTGATGACAATTGTCAAGTCTCATAATGTGTTAAAGTCAAAGGTGTCGTTTTTGGGCCACTGAGGGCCATTATCTAATTTACATTGTGGCCAGACCATGTTGCAATAAAACATTAATCGTTTGGGTCTAACGTCTGCCCTGAGACTGAGTGTGTCAAGGCTCGGTGGTCTTGGAGGGGTGGCAGGCTGCTGCCCTCACAGAGGGGAGAGGACACTGGGTGTGCAGGTGACAGACAGGCCTTCCTACCCCAGGGCCTCTCTCCTGTGCAAGCTCCCTGCTGAGATTCCGAAAGAGGAGACTCTGGAGAATCCATAGCCCGGAGGCGGGGAACCTCCTGCCTAGGCTGGGACTTCTGAGGGAAGGCAAACCGGAAGCTGAGAGAGAGAGCAGGAAGGAGAGGAGAGGGCAGGAGCCCCTCACCCAGGAGACGGCGCCGCGGGATGTAAGGTGAGCAGTGGGAAGGTGGGATCCCCTGTGTCCGGTCCCCGACCGGCTCGGGAGGGCTGTGGGGAAGAGCGGTGGGGGCCGATCCCACAGTGTGGGGCAGGACTGGGGTCAGCCCAGGACAAGCAGCTGCTGCCTGCTGCTCCCCAAGTGGCAAGCCTGGGGCCGATCCGGAAGCCAACCCCAGTCCTTTCCCTCACAAAGCCCTTCCGGGTTTCAGCACCGAATGTTAGGAACGCACAAGGCCAGGCTAGGTGAAAAGCAGTTTATTTTAACGTCTGCGTACAGATGGCTGAGTCCACGATGGCAGCAGCCCCGAAATGGCGAGCGTTCAGGGTTGCTATGGGTGGATTTGGGCGCTGCCTCCCTGGTCCCAAAGGGAGTGCTTGAGCCCAGGAGTTTGAGGTTGCTGTGAGCCAGGCTGACGCCACGGCACTCACTCTAGCCTGGGCAACAAAGTGAGACTCTGTCTCAAAAAAAGAAAAAAAAAAAAACTCCTGGGCTCAAGCGATCCTCCTGCTTCAGCCTCCCAAGTAGCTGGGACTACAGGCATGCACCACCATGCCTGGCCAATTTTTTCTATATATTTTTAGTTGGCCAATTAATTTCTTTCTATTTTTTAGTAGAGACAGGGTCTCGCTTTTGCTCAGGCTGGTTTTGAACTCCTGACCTTGAGCAATCCTCTTGCCTCAGCCTCTCAGAGTGCTAGAATTACAGGCATGAGCCACCACACCTAGCCTATTTTTTATTTCTCTTTTTAGAGAGAAGGGTCTCACTTTGTTGCCCAGGCTGGCCTCAAACTCCTGGCCTTAAGTGATCCTCCCACCTTAGCCTCTCAAGTAGCTGGGCCTACAGCTGGGCATCACCATGCCCAGGTCATAGAGTTAGTCATTTTGCTGTGTTCTCATACAGTGGAAGGGCAAGGGAGCTTTCTGGGGCCTCCTTTATAAGGGCACGAATCCTATCCAAGGGCTCTACCCTTGTGACCTAATCACCTCCCAAAGGCCCCACCCCCTAAGGCCATCGCCTTGGAGGTCAGGATTTCAACATATGAATCTGGGGGACACAAATGTTCATCCACAGTAGGCCCAGAGTCAGTCTGGGCCCGCAATCCTGCTGTGCTGGCAGGCCGGAGCTCCTGTCCAGGGGCAGACGCTGCCGTCCACAGGTGGAGTTCCTGCCTCCTCCGGCAGCCTCAGTCTTGCCTTTTAGGAGATGCATGTGAAGTTTTTGGCATCAGCGAAAAGAAAAGGCAGACACAGAGAGAGAGTGGGGCCAAACAATGTGGCTTTATTGAGCGCTCCTGGGTGAGGTTTGCGGGTCCCAAGAGAGGGGGACCCAAGAAGTCGAACCCGTTTGAAAGGGAGGCTTTTATACCGTTTTAAGTGTGCTGAGGACTTTTGGCGGGAAGAGCTGGGGTTTTTCCACTGCGACCTTTGGTAGTCATTGAGAAATAGGACAGGCTGGCGGTATTTGCGAAATCCAGGAACCAAAACTTTCTTATCTGGGTGGACATCTAGGTGTGGTTGTTCTCAGTGGGGCCTGGCAGTTATCCTTGGCAGGTCTAGTCTTGTGAGCCTTTTCTTTTTGATCTAGGGGAGGACAGGGGAGCCTGCCACCAGCCTTGCAATGCGATCTCTCCAGCTGACGTGCTCGGGGGTAATCTTAACAGGAGCCAGCTGGTCCTGGCGTTCATCACGCCTGCAGCTTCCCTCCCCCCACAGCAGCACCTAGTGAGGGGCGAGTGACCGCTGGCCCGTAGCCCGGCCAAGCTGACGCATCGAACTGACCACATAGGGCCCCAACCCTACCCCGATAGCCCATAAATGGGGGGCAGGATTTCCCACTCTAGTGGGAATGGAGCATCAGAAACAGCACTGAGGCCAGACGCGGTGGCTCACACCTGTAATCCTGGCACTCTGGGAGGCTGAGGCGGGCGGATCGCTCAAGGTCAGGAGTTCAAAACCAGCCTGAGCAAGAGCGAGACTCTGTCTCTACTATAAATAGAAAGAAATTAATTGGCCAACTAATATATATAGAAAAAATTAGCCGGGCATGGTGGCGCATCCCTGTAGTCCCAGCTACTCGGGAGGCTGAGGCAGGAGGATCGCTTGAGCCCAGGAGTTTGAGGTAGCTGTGAGCTAGGCTGACACTACGGCACTCACTCTAGCCTGGGCAACAAAGCGAGACTCTGTCTCAAAAAAAAAACCAACAAAAAACTGAGGAGCCCCGTGTGGTGGCTCACTTGGACAACATAGGAAGACCCCTGTCTCTGTGAAAATTTAAAAAATTAGCGGGGCATGGTGGCTCACACCTGTAGTCCCAGCTACTCGGGAGGCTGAGGCAGGAGGATCGCTTGAGCCCAGGAGTTGGAGGTTGCAGTGAGCTGTGATCATGCCACTGCACTCCAGCCTGGGTGAGACAGCAAGACTCTGTCTCAAAAAAACAAAATGGAAAAAAATTAAAACTGAAGGGCCCTGAGTGTGCTGCCCGGCCAGGGAGACAATAGCAGAGGTGCTGTCCCCTGTGGTGTGGCGGCCACTGCCCGGCCACACACTCACTCTCCCACTCAGAGCCCACCCAACCTGTTGTCCACTGTCAACCCCATTCTGCAGGGGAGGAAACCAGGCCCAGCGACCAAGGCAGACTTGCCTAAATCCCACAGGCAAGTCCGGGACTTGGGAGACTAAATCTGCGGCTGAGCTAGGACTTGAATCCAGACAGGTCTGGCTTCAAAGCTTGTGCTCCTACCCGGCCCCCAGCGCTATTTTGAATGAGAATGGTGACAATGGTGGTGATGACAGTGGTGATGATCCTGTGCATTGTGAGTGACTTTGCAGTTCTCAGATCACGTCCGCTGCCAGAGAGAGGCTCGTGACCGCAGCCGTCAGCCCTCAGCGCTCTGGGCCAGAGGCTGGTCCCACAGGACAGACAGACCCACCCAAGGAGGGGGAGCCACACAGGGCGACATGCTTCCTGGTGGCAGAAACAGACAAACCCCAGGGCCTTCCTTGAGCAGGAGGCTATAGGGGCCTGGGGGACAGAGAAAGTCTCCCTGGAACTCTCTAGACCCCCACAGGTGCTTTGGAAATGTCTGGGGTCTGCCTCTGTGACTTCCCCCTCTCAGGTGAGGCCAGGAAAACCCAGCCATTGTCATGGGATGTGATTGATCTTTAACCTGCTGGCCCTGTTGTTCAGGGAGGAGTGGCACAAGGGAATCTGCCGGGCCTGGAGCCAGATGCCCAGTTGATTTGGTTAGGGCCGGAGCTGAGCAGACACAGACAGCCTGACCCATGTCCTGGGCGGGTGGCACAAGGAGCCACAGGCTCACAGAACCACAAGCCCGGGTGTCTGGCAGGGGTTTGGGAGACCTCCACTCTGCAGAGGCCCAGGTGACTTCGGTGTCACCCCAAGCCACTCCTCCTAGTTTGCAGATGAGGAAACTGAGGTCTCTTGGAGAGTGAGCAGCTGAAAGGCACTAACCCAGGCCTGTCAGAGTCCACAGCCTCGCTCTGGCCCTCGGTGTAGGCACGGGCTGGCCAGCACCGCCATCCAAGGGACACTGAGCAGATCCTGGCCACCTCCTCCCCAGGCCCCTCTTGCCACGGATCCCTTGCAGTGCCTGGAAGCCCCCCTTTCCAGAGACCCCTTTGGAGCCTTGGCAGGCATCTGACCAGGTCACTTCTGGGGACCTGCTACAGCGGCCCTAGAGGAGACCAGCAAGAGTGGGGCTAGGAAGTGGCTCAGGGAGGAGGACCGTGGGTGGCAGGGGGGACGCTGCTGTGGCCTTGGGCCCCTTCTTCTCACTTTCTCCTCCAGCCTAGAGGGACTGAAGGGCCCTGGCACTTCTCCCTTCCCCTCCAGGGTCAGATTCAGTCCAGGGAGCTGGATTCTCTCAATGCCTCCTGAGAGCTGTGGGGACACCTGTCACATGTGACTATGATTTAAGGGACAATTCAAAGTCCTGTTGAACCCCCTGGGCAGCACTGTCCTTTGTTCTGCTTTCCTGAGGAACCAATTTGGAGTTGGGGTAGGCGGGACTGTTTCTGTCTCCTGGTTGCTTTGTTTGTTTGGAATAACAGGTCAGGGCTCTGTGGAGTCAGAGTCGAGTGTGACCTGGGGCAGTGATTCCTCCTGTTGCCGAAACAGCACAGCCCGGAGTAGCCCAGGTTCAGGAGGGAGGCGCTTGGGGCCCTGGGGGGACAGGCACCCCCTGCCCTTTGTTTCAGGATCTTGGGGAGGGGCTGAGGCCTACCCTCTGGGAGGAAGCCAAGTCTAGGAGTTTCCTAATGGGAAGTGCGGGGTGTAGAAGGCCTCCTTTGGGTCCTTCTGGTCCGAGCACAGAGCCCTGGGGTCCCGCACCCTGCCCTGAAGCCCTAGCTTGGACCCCAAAGCCCTGCAGCCTCTGGCCCTCGCCTGCAAATGGAGACGCTTGTCCCCCCAGCTGGCAAGGCAGTGGCGAGGGCGAGACAACCAGGCGTCACACCCCCTTCATGTCGCTTTCCTGGTTTCCCCTCCCAAAGACTCTTCTGCTCATTGAGTGGACGCACAGAGCCCTCGGGACGGAGCCAGCCCCGTGGCTGCTCAGGGGCCCGGAGCCGGGACTGCACAGAAGCCACAGCCCCGGCCAGCGGGAGAGCAGGGACTCGTGGGGGGTGCAGGTCACAGTGACAATGGACAGGCTCTCTGGGTGACAAGCTGAGGCCATCAATCATCAGCTATAGGTCTACACCCTGGAGAGGCCTGGCCGCGTGCGCCTGCACTCTGACAGCGGCACTCGGGCACCCGGAGAGACCCCCCCAGTGAGGCAGGACACGCTGGGGACCGCGTGTCTTCCCAGAGAGACATGGCGAGCTGTCTCGAGAGGAGGCTGGATACTGCACAGGCCATGCTCACTGTCACTCTCCCTGCCGATGCCACCTCCATGGGTGGGGCGCAGAGGTGACACTCCAGGTGACCCCTGGGCCAGCCTGAGCTGCGCAGGAAGATCCCGTTTCGTCTTCAGAGCAACACTGGGAGGTGCGTGCTAGAAGGAAGAAGAAGAGCTTCCCCGAGTATCGAGTGCCTACTGGAGCCAGGCGCTCCCGCGTCCCCGAGAAGGGGATGTCCAACACTTATGCCACTTCTGCCCCCGTGCTTGGGCGGGACTCAGACCCAACGCTGGCCCAGAGCCCAGCGGCCTGCAGGAGACGGGAGGCCCAGGGCTGGAGGGCGGTGCCGGTGGCACTGGAAGGGGACAAGGGCCAGACTTTCCTCCCGCAGCCCCACCTGCCCTCACAACAGGAAGGGAGGAGTGTAAGCCCTGAAGGATGGCCCAGGAGCGGCCCCTCCGCCCGCCCTGACCAGGGAACCAGAGCCTCCCTGGGCGCCTGCAGCTGCCCCAGAGCTGCCCCGCCGAGGCCCTTTGAGCTGAATTCCGCCAGGGAGCCGAATTCTATCTTTCAGAGGAGAAAACTGGGGTCCAGGGAGGGCAAGCGACTTGGCCAGGGACGCAGGAACAGTGTGGTGGGACGTGGCGGGACGTGGACCCAGGCCTCCTGAGACAGAGGACAGAGGGGCCACAGGAGTAGCCAGTCAGCCCGGTCTGGGGGGCAATGCTGGGGTACCTCTCCCCAGCGCGGGAGGGGTGAGTGCCAGCACCGGGCTGCATGGCTGGGCAGGGTGACAAGCAGCTACCAGGAGAGGATGGGAGGAGGGTGCCACCGGTGCTGTCGTCAGTGGCAGCAGAGTGTCCTCTGCAAGTCCCGCCCTGTGTCCTGCAGACCGGGAAGCCAGCTGAGCTGGGCGGGACCAAGGGACCGTTTGCCTTCACGGCTGGGGGTGGCTGGTACCTCTTCCTGAAGCCGAATAATAAAACCGAGAGCAAGTGGGTTGAGGAGAAAGGAAAGGAAGATTCATTATTTGCCAGGAGGACAGCAGACTCTCATCTTAAAGAACCACCATCCTGGCCGGGCGCGGTGGCTCACACCTGTAATCCTACCACTCTGGGAGGCCGAGGCGGGCGGATTGCTGGAGGTCAGGAGTTCAAAACCAGCCTGACCTAGAGCGAGACCCCGTCTCTACTATAAATAGAAAGAAATTAATTGGCCAACTAATATATATAGAAAAAAATTAGCCAGGCGTGGTGGCACGTGCCTGTAGTCCCAGCTACTTGGGAGGCTGAGGCAGGAGGATTGCTTGAGCCTAGGAGTTTGAGGTTGCTGTGAGCTAGGCTGATGCCACGGCACTCACTCTAGCCTGGGCAACAAAGTGAGACTCTGTCTCAAAAAAAAAAAAAGAACCACCATCCTCCTGTTGACAGGAGTTTAGGCTCTTTTATAGGTACATGATTGTTTACTTAACCGAGGGTCTTCTCGACCTGTGCCGCACACCTGGGGGTGCCCAGAATGAACAAACCAGCACAAGCAGACCTCGAGTTAATCTTCCTAGGATTGTCACATTGTTACTGTGAGGTCACAGTAGCCCTTTGGTTTCATTAATTTCTAACCGTGTAGCAGGGGCATCTCTCTTTCCCCGGCCAACAAAGAAGTCTGGACTTCAGCTCACTCGTCCCTTGAAAGCAGACGTGGTGGCAAAGCCTCCCCAGCCGCCAACCTCACCTCCTGGGTTGGCAGAAACTGGGGCTCCCTCAGAGGGCTCGGCCGGGCTGACCTGGAGGGCAGTGGGGCAGAGGCAGGTGCAGCCAGGGGAGAGGGGTCTGAGGCCTCCTTACCCAAGTGTGGGAAGGGGTGAGGCCCTTCCCAGTCTGAGATGGCAGGCCCTGGATGAGGTGGCTGCGGGGCAGTCCAGGGCAGCCAAACCCTGGGCACACAGGTCCCAGCCCCAGCCAAGTCTCCAGGCCTAAGAGAGCCACATGCCAGGGGTCTAGACAAATGTGTCAGCAGAGACCAAGGGCCAGTGTACACCATTATAGGTCAAGCGTCTCTCAGCAATTGTCTGGTTTATATAAGACGCAAGCCGGGGTGGGTAGGAAAACAAATCCCCCTTCTTGAGAACAACTGGGATTGGCCTTCCTGCTGGCTAGCCAGGAAGAGATGGATTCTGCAGTCAGCCTGGGTTTGGGAATTCCCAGTATAGTATTTCTAATTTGGTTAATAGGTTTTTAGTTTTGTTTTGTGTTTTAAATTATGGATTGCTGTTGAATTTTATCTGATGCTTTTTCCTGCATTAGTTAAGATCACTACATGATTTTTCCTTTAATCAATTTATGTGGTAAATTAAATTCATAGATCTTTTTTTTTTTTTTTTTCAGACAGAGACAGAGTCTCACTCTGTTGGGTGGACTAGAGTGCCGTGGCATCAGCCTAGCTCACAGCAACCTCAAACTCCTGGGCTCAAGCGATCCTACTGGCTTAGCCTCCCAAGTAGCTGGGACTACAGGCGTGTGCCACCATGCCTGGCTGATTTTTTCTATATATTTTTAGTTGGCTAATTGATTTCTTTCTATTTTTAGTAAAGACAGGGTCTCACTCTTGCTCAAGCTGGTTTGGAACTCCTGACCTTGAGTGATCCTCCTGCCTCGGTCTCCCAGAGTGATAGCATTACCGGCGTGAGCCACCACACTCAGCCTTTCTTTTTTTTTTGAGACAGGGTCTCTCTTTGTTGCTTGGGCTGGAGTGCAGTGGCATCATCATAACTCACTGCAACCTCAAACTCCTGAGCTCAAGCCATTCCCCTGCCTCAGCCTCCCAAGTAGCTGGAACTACAGGCCTATACTACCACATCCAGCTAATTTTTCTATTTTTTGTAGAGATTGGGTTTTGCTGTTTTTCAGGCTGGTCTCAAACTCCTGGCCTCAAGCAATCCTCCCACCTCTGCCTCCCATAGTGCTAGGATTACAGGCATGATCTAATACTCCTGGCCTCATAGATTATTTCTTATCTAGCTTGACAATCTCTGTCTTTTAACTGGTGAGTTTAGCCCATTTACATTTACTGTGAGTATGATTTTACTACCTTGTGCTATTTTTCCTGTGTTTGTCTTCTAAGTTTCTATTTTCTCCTTTCTTACTTTTATGTTTTCAATCGATAGAGTTTCCCCCCTTAAAAAAAATCTCCATCCCAGCCAGGCGCGGTGGCTCACACCTGTAATCCTAGCACTCTGGGAGGCTGAGGTGGGCGGATTGCTCAAGGTCAGGAGTTTGAAACCAGCCTGAGCGAGACCCCGTCTCTACCAAAAATAGAAATAAATTAATTGACCAACTAAAAATATATATACAAAAAATTAGCCGGGCATGGTGGTGCATGCCTGTAGTCCCAGCTACTCGGGAGGCTGAGGCAGGAGGATCGCTTGAGCCCAGGGGTCTGAGGTTGCTGTGAGCTAGGCTGACGCCATGGCACTCACTCTAGCCTGGGCAACAAAGCGAGACTCTGTCTCAAAAAAAAAAAAAAAGGAAGCTGATCTGACTGAGAGGACTGAGTTCGGCGTCCTGTGCTCTGAAAACAGAACACACCTTCCTTTCAGGCGGCGCGAGTGGCACATTCATAAGCATCTCCCACACATACTAGCCGGTGACAAAGGGAGACTCCACAACGCCCCTGAGGGGAAGTGGGACAGATGGCGTGTTCTAGCACGATGCAATAAGACACAGGCTGCTCAGGCGTCCATAACAAAGCACCACGCACCGAGGCTGAAACAACAGGAATCTACTTCCGTCAGGCTCTGGCGGCTGAGAGTCGCCCAGATCAAGGTGGCGGCAGGGCTGGTTTCCCCTGAGTCCTCGCTCCTTGGCTTGTAGATGCCACCTTCTCCCTGTGTCCGCGCATGGTCGTCCCTCTCTACTGTGTCTGTGTCCTCGTCGCCTCTTCTTACGATGACGTGAGCCGACTGGACCAGCGTGCATGCATTGGCCTTTATTTGCCCTCCCCAGTCGCCCAATCTCCAAATGCTGTCACATGCCGAGCGAGGTCCTGGGAGTTCCGACTTTTGGGGAGGGACACAATGCCCATAAGAGATGGTAAAACTAACAAACTCCCAACAAGTCCTATTGCCCAGAAAATTTAAAACTCTTTTAAACAATACTTCGGGGGAAAAGGAAATCGAAATCCAAGTCACAACGTGTCAGAGCCTCCAGGACAAGAGATAAAGCAGCGAGCTTTTTTTCTTTTTTGAAGAGAAGAAAAGATAAATTTATTAACTTGCCGGCAAATGAGGAGGATGGAGACTCCTGTCTGAAAAACGTCATTGTCCTACTAAAAAGCAGAAATACAGAGCTTTTAAAGGGTGCCATGTAGCTTCAGACAGCTTCTGTTCAGTTGTAAAGTGGTGTTCTTTTCACGTTAAAGGACCAGCCTTTTATATTTGAGCAAAAGGAAGAATAAAAATAAACCAAAGCAAAACAAAAAACCCAGCCAAGTGCTTTGGTGGGCACCTGAGTTCCCAGCTACTTGGGAGGCTTAGTTGGGAGGATTGCTTGAGCCCAGGAGTTGAAGGCCAACCTGGACAGTATAGCAAGACCCCATCTCTAAAAAAAAAAATCATAGCACAGAAATGTTAAGTAACATGCCTAAGATCACACAGCAGGTAAATAGCAGAGCTAGGTTCTGGACTAGTTTGTCTTAATATGTGCAAATGTTTCCATTGCAGCACTGTTTGCAATGGCCACACACACACCCCAAAAGGGAAAAAAGATGTCCAACAATAGAGGGCCATTTAAATAAGCATAAAATAGCCATGCCGTGAGATACTGTGCAGGGACACATAGGAGCTGTCCTGCCCAGCTCCATAGAACTAAGATTGGGGATTAGCTTTTCTTTTATCTACCTTAAAAGACATCAGCTAGACATGCCGCATCATTGGGAAAATTGACAAAATAACTCTCCAGATAATTTTCTAGAGTGCTTAATTCTCTCGGCCAGCCTGGTTGGGAGAAACTGGCTGCTTTATCTGCTGTGGATCAACCTCCAAGGTATATTGTTAACGGAAAAAGGCAAAGTGCAGACCAACGAATCTAAAATGCCACTGGGAGTGTGTGTGTGTGTGTGTGTGTGTGTGTGTGTGTGTGTGTGTGTCTCAGATGCAAAGAATATCCGAGAAGGACACAAAGAATCTGCTACCAGCGGCTGCCTCCAGACAGGGGAATTTAATACCTGGGAGCCTGGGTGGGAAGGAGACGAACTTTTTCCCTCTACACTTTTAGAATTTTGTACCGTGTGAGAGTATTACCCCAGCAAATCCTTAAATACGCTTCCTGAATTGAGTGACAGGGAGAGAGAGAGAACTCGTGCCTCTTCCTCTTTGTATAAAGACACCGGTTCTACCGGATCAAGGCCCTACCCTTACAGCCTCATTTAACCTGATGACCCCCCTAAGGACCTTACCTCCACTCACCATCACACTGGGATTAGGCCTCCGACGTGGGAATTTGGGGTGGACACAGTGCGTCCGTAACACCTGCCATACCGAGTTAGTTCACTGAGAGCTTCTAATACTGAGTGGGTGTTGGATTTTGTCAAACGCTTTTTCTGCATCGATTGATGTGTTCATGAGATTTTTCTTCTTTTAGCCTGCTGGTGTGTGATGGATTACATTAATTGATTTTTAAATGTTGAGCCTTGGGTGATGTGGTGTATATAGTAAAAAGATGAGATAAAAAAGTAGCCAGCCCGCCTTACATACTTGGAACGTGGTATGTAGTCCATTTTATGCTTCAGCTTCCTTACACTGTGTCTGGTGAGGGTTTGTGCAACTGTATTTATGAGAGGTATTGTCAATATTGACAGATATTGGCAGATATTAAGAATCTATCGCTTCTGTTTCTTGCAATGTCTTTATCTGGCTTGTGTATTAGGGTGATGCTGGCCTCACAGAATGAGCTAGGAAGTGTTCCCTCTGCTTCTGTTTTCTGGATGAGATTGTAGAGAATTGGTGTCCTTTCCTCCTTAAATGTTTGGTAGAATTCACCGATGAAACCATCTGGGCCCGGGGCTTTCTGAGGAGAAATGTTCTATCATCTTTTGATTAAAGTTCCACATCGTGGTTTCTGTGGGCCAGATCCCCGGGCCGTGACCTTCAGAGGAGTTTCTTAGCCCCTTTTCCTCCACTTCGTGCGACAGGAAGCCCGGGGGCTGGAGGGGCTCGGTGGGGCTTTGGGAAAGGAGTTTCCCTTAAGGGCTGCCCTTACAGAGAACAGAACAGAATGCTCCTCAAGGGTTTCAAAATGGCCACTTTTCCTCTTCCCCTGCTCAGGGAAGGAGAATTTGGTGTGTTTCCTGGAGGTAAAACTCATGAAAGTGTGGGGACCCATTAATATTGGGGGCCCCCTCACCCTGAGCTTGTAACCTTCCAGCCCGGCTACACGGGCCCGCAGCCCCTGCGGCTGCAGTTAATGCTCGCCCTGGGCAGCCTCGCCCGTCCGTCTCTCCCCACTTTCAGGCCACTGGTTTGCCCGGACCTCAACTCTCTGATGGATCTAGAAGAGTTGGTTTTTCAGTTTGTTCAGCTTTTTTCTTATTGTGAGAGTGGGAGTAATGATGTCCAAACTCCTTACATACAAAACCAGAGGCCAGAACTTACTTTCTTTTTTTTTTTTCTTTTTTTTTGAGATTTGAACCCAGGTAAGAGGCCAGAACTTTCTATATTTTTTTAAGAGAGGCAGAAAACCCACACTGCCTGACAACTCCCCTGGTGGCCCTCGGGGCTAGTCCCGGTGTCTGTAACTATAAGCCCATGTGCGCCTCTAGCCCGGATTTATTCTCAGAGGTCTGGCTCCAATGTCCATCTGCCTCTGATCCCCCCCCCCCGTCCAGATGTCCCACAGGTGCCTCAGACGTCTCAAGGCAGCCACTGGGACTCATCTTCTCCGTCCCCAGGCAATCCGCAGCCCACGCTTCCTATCACCCGGGTGCCCAAGCCAGAAATCCCTGCTTCCTTCTAGATACTCGCCTCTCCCTGCCCATCCCTGCCCATCCCTGACATCAGCCACCAGGTTGTGGACATCCTCGTGCCACTGCCTTGGAGGAGCCCCTGGGCATGTCTTGTTGGAGTTGTCACGATGACCTCATCTGCCTTGCTCGGCCATCCTCTAATTCTCCCCACCGCTGCCAGGAAGATCTTCTCTAAAAACATTGGTTTGTGTCTTTTCCTGCATGCAAACCCGCCTGCCCCCAGGTGCGAGCAGGATAAACTCCGAACTGTTTCTCCTGGGTCGTAGCACAAGCCTGGGCTACCTTTATACCTGCTCTTCCCTCAAACTAGGATCCCACCCACCTCCCAGCCTGACCCTTCACCGTTCCCAGCATCCTTCTTCTCTGAAACTTCTTTTCTAGACTAGACCATGTGCTCTTGCTCACCCCTGTGTGAGACTTTGGCAGGCATGGATTATTCCAGGTGAAGGCAACACTTGCCCTCCTGTCCACGACCCACCTGTGCTTCCAGGGTGGCTCAGGTATACTCTCCTCCAGAGGCCTTCCCTGCTCTCCCAGAGGTAAATGCTTAACCACTTGCTCTCCAGGAAAGAAGCCCTGCCAATTTCCATGGTGTAAATACTCCCAACTCCCACCGTGGCCAGTTTCAGACTACCAATCTGATGTCACAGGGCATGAGTCGGGGAGAGATGCACACCCTCAGCTTTCTCCAGCATGCAACAGGAGGACCAGCCTCCTCTGGGCTCACCTCACACCCTGCATTCACATGATCAAATCATTAATCACAAGGAATGTGAATGAAATGAAAACCACCAACCAACTGGCCTCTGATGGCACAAGAGAGGGACAGATTGAAGGCTCAGTGCCAATGTCCACACCCTGCCCTCCTGGCCGTGTGACCCAGCCTTTCTGAGCCTCAGATCTGTCATCTATAAAAAGTCAAAAATAATATGCTCTCCCTAAGCTCACATGCAAATTAAATGGATATGAAAACCGTGAAGCCCTGTTCAGAAGTTAGAGGTCACTCCAAGGAGTGGGGAAGAACATTCTAGGGCTGATGACCTGGTGAGGAGAGGAGAGGGGCAGGAGGGAATGGGTGTGTCCCTTGGTTGGAGTAAGCCTGCGAATCCGGGCTGGGAGGCAGGAATTGGGGCCACAGAAGGTGAGGAAGGGTGGGCTTTGACCTCATGCCCAGCCCTGGGAGCCTTGGGAATTTCAGAAAGAAACACTGGGACAGATAGTCCCAGAAGCAGGAGACCAGGAAGGAGAATGCTGGGTGTTGGGGACAGGGCTGGCCAGTAAAAACCTTTCAGGGCATGGGTCTGGACACATGGGTCTGGGCACACAGAGGAGGGTGTTGGAGGAGGCAGGGGCGTTTGTTTTCTTCCCCAGAGACAGAGACGGCCTCGGCCATCTTAGTTATGAAGCTCAGAGGCAAGAGGCTCACCGTGCATCATGGGAAATTCCCTGACCCAGCCAGCAGTGGGGCCGAGCCCCCCCCCGGGTGAGGAGGCTAATGAAAGAGACCAGAGTCTATTGCTTTTGCCCAGGAGAAAAATGAAACTTCCATCGGATCAAGGACCCAGCTTCCTGGGTGCTCCGTGGCCCCTTGCTCATCCGGATTGGCAAGAGCCCAAATCCCCATGTAAGGCCGGGCGCGGTGGCTCACCCTGTAATCCTAGCACTCTGGGAGGCCAAGGTGGGCGGATTGCTCAAGGTCAGGAGTTCAAAACCAGTCCTGACCAAGACCGCCTCCTAACTATAAAAATAGAAAGAAATTAATTGGCCAACTAATATATATAATATAGAAAATTAGCCGGGCATGATGACACATGCCTGTAGTCCCAGCTATCGGAGGCTGAGGCAGGAGGATCACTTGAGCCCAGGAGTTTGGGTTGCTGTGAGCTAGGCTGCACACCGGCACTCACTCCAGCCTGGGCAACAAAGTGAGACTGTCTCAAAAAAAAAAAAAAAAAAAATCCCCATGTAATCTTGGGCCTTGAGCTCGGAGGGTGGGCGTGGGACCAGCAGCAGTCGCCCCTGGAAGCCTGCTGGAAATGCAGAATCCCAGGCTGCAGCCCCACGTGCAGTGTGGGAACCTGCGAGTTCACCAGCTCCCCGAGGACTGGGGCACATGGTGACGTTTGAGAAGGTCTGGCGTCAGCTCTGGGGGTGGGAGGGGGGCCTTTTCCCATCTCGGACCCCAAACGCTGAGAGTCCTCTGAAAGGACGGAGGGACAGATTGGTGGAGTGACAGCTGCCGTAGGGGCTGGGTCTGAAGGCAAGGGCGGTGGCTGATGGGCAGGTAGGGCTGGGGAAAGGGCTGATGCGGACATTTGAGAGGCAGAGGGTGGCTGCTCTGGGCTCCCGCCGTCCTTGTGGCTGGGCTAGGGCTCGGCTTTGGAAGGCGGCCACGGCAGGAAGGCCCCGGCCACGTGTGCAGACCAGCGGCAACGTGCAAGGCAAGCGGACAGGGGACGCCAGCACGGGAGAGGGGCAGAGAGGGGTCCTCCAAGGGGACCTGTCAGAGGGGCAGGAGGCCAAGGGCACAAAGCTCATGATCAACTGTCCGATGCACTA